TATATATATATATATATATATATATATATATATATATATATATATATATATATATATATATATATATATATATATATATATATATATATATATATATATTATTGGTAAACTATTATCCGCCATAGGCCAGACGTACGTTTCGTCTCTCACGAATATATATATATGTTGGTAATAAAACATAATTTTTACAATATTTCATAATAATGTATATAAAAAGTTAGTAAAATAGTATTAAATTAAATATTAAAACAAATAAATTAATACTGAAGTTTAGTTCGGTGAAAATTTGTTAAAATCGGATGATGTAAATAAAACGTAAGTTAGTTGAATGTGAAAAGAAGACATGTGGGGAAAGAATATGAAAAATTGTCAAAATTAATTATTAAGTTTATAATGATATATAAGAAATTTTAATAAACGAATCCGTAAATGAAACAACTAAATTAGATTAAAATGGAATATAGACTATTTATGAAAAATATAATTGAATAAGATAAAATAAATGAAATAAAATGAAAAAATAAAATGAAATAAAATAAAATAAAAATAAAACAAGTAATTGTAATGTATCACAGCTAATATGGATGTTAAGATGCACTGTCGAATAACGAAACCAGCGATACGGAAACATTAGTCCTATGACGAGTGGTAACATGTTCACCATTAAACAGTATCGCTTCTTTTGGCATTGGCTCGTATTCGAAGTGGCGCAACATTGGTGGTTCTAGGATATTGGTATGAACGGCACGTTGTGGACTATCATGTCTATACTGGGAGTAAAGATGTAGGCTATGATCAAATGTGTTAAATTGTTTATTCATAGCGGGTTTAACACATTTAACACATTTTGACAATTTTCCATATTCTTTCCACACATGTCTTCTTTTCACATTCAACTAACTTACGTTTTATTTACATCATCCGATTTTAACAAATTTTCACCGAACTAAACTTCAGTATTAATTTATTTGTTTTAATATTTAATTTAATACTATTTTACTAACTTTTTATATACATTTATATTTTTAACCATAAATTTAATTTGTACATGTTTTGCATTGTTTTCACTAACAAAGGTTTCTCGTTATTTTCTTAATAATTTTATTACACATACATTTAATATGCATTCTAATTTTATAAAAATATTTCATGCTATTCTTATTTTCATAGGCTCTGAAGATGGACTTCCCGAAACAGCGCTGTTAGCCTTACCATGTCTATTGTTTTAAATAAATACGAGTTTAATAAATTCAGACTTGCTGAGTGTTCATTAAAAAGTCATTAATGCAAAATGGGCATATATCTTCAATGATGTTTGTATTAAAGAAAACCTCGTTCCGAAATATATATATATATATATATTTATACATATATATATGCTGTGTTAAGACCAATTTTGATTAAATTTGATGACGTAAAGGTAAAAAAACTCATCTTCAAGGACATTGTTAAAATTGCGTCTGTGAGCGATGGACTGACTCGTGTTGGTCTGAGCCACAATCTGACTGTTGAGCAAAGAAATGAACTTAAAAAAATTTTGGCTGATGCCAGGAGGATGGAAAAAAATTCAACGGAGTAAGAGTAAGAGGAGATGTGGGAAAATGGAAGATAGTTCAATTTCTAGCAAAAAAAGAGTCAAGCTTGTAAATGAACGACAGAGCCGGGGGTATGATTTTTACAGCTTGATCAAATGTGGTAGTCATGGTTTTTACCGTAATGATGATAATAAAAGTAATTTGAATAAAAATTTTAATTTGGGTTTGCTAAATGTCAGATCAATTGCACCTAATGTTGATGGAGTTTATGGCCTAATTAGTGATGGGTTAGATGTGCTGGTGCTGACTGAAACGTGGCATGGCTTGGCTGGGAATAACTCTGTCAATATTGCTAAGCCGAAGGGGTATTGTTATGTGGACTTTGTCAGGCAGCATGATCCTGGTCATGGTG